TCTTCATATAAATGCTTTTTGTTACGTATAGAGGGAAGAAATATTTTCAAGTATAAACACATAATTATTGATTATAAGATATTGAGCTATGTAACTTTATACAACTGTAATTGTACTATAACATATTGAAAATATGGCTGGGGGTTGTGGTACAATACCTTGGGAGACTGAGGCAGGACAATGGCAATTTTAAATCCAGCCAGCACAATATAACAAGCTTAAGGCCAGCTTTTGTATACTGAAACCATAAATAAAAATAAATAATTAAAATAATATATTATTTCTACATCTTTTTTGTCAGAATTTACATGCAGTCTTTACTCATATTAAACAAAATTGTCTAAAATAAGATGAATACATTGGTAAGAAGTATGGTTTTTAGTATTATTTGTAAATTAACATTGAAAAGAAATTAGTTTCTATTTAAAGTATATATGAAAAAGAAAATTTTAATCAAATCTAATTCTATAGTAAGTATATATAAAGTTGGTCATTGTAGCTTGCAATTTAGTTAGAATTATCATGGTTGAATTCTGAAATTATTTTAGATGATACCTTGTAAATGGAAGAAACAGTAATTTCTACTGTTATTCTTTCTAATGTGTTTGTTTGTTTTTTCTTTTTATTTACTCAGATGATATTGGAGCAATTCCAATAAAGCACTTTCCAAAACATGTTGCAGACTTACATGCAAGTAATGGGTTCACTGAGGAATTTGAGGTATGATTTCAGTGTGTCTGTTTTAATAATATCAAATGTAGTGAATTTCAAAGGTTAAGCAGGAAGCTACTTCATGATGTAAATACATTGAAAATGCATTTCTGGAAAAAATATGATATTGGTTCCATAATTGCATATGTGCTTAGGAGGTGTGTTTTAGTTACTAAATAACTTAGAAAATCGGCTTTCTGTTTTAAAAGCAAGCGTGGCTAGTAGAAGAAACAAACATAAATGTGAATCCTTTCCCACTAAGTACAGGTTGCTAACATCCTTTTCTTAATACCTAAATTAGTAACAATGATTCATTTTTATTTTCAAAATTACATAAATTATACTAAACTACTAAACTTGATGATTCTTAGCAAAACTGAATACAAATCCTTAACTGTAAGTATGACATCTACGTCAACACAAACTCAGAAACGTTGCAAAGTAAAATCACATCCACTTTCCAAGAAAACATATTTCTAAAATTATTCGAACTTTGTAATCAATGAAAACATTTCTAATGGCAATGTTAAGTACTTTTAGAAGAGGTGGAGAAATTTGCTGCAAATGTATCAGGCCCACTGCCCTATCTCTTAAGCATACTTCTCAAAATAAGGAGTCATGAGTCCCAGGTTAAACAAGAAGGACCACACATACTATGAGTTGCCATTTCTGAGGGTTACAGGTTTCTAACCAGGGGCTTCATAGTCAACCTTCATTCAACTCTAGGAGTTGTGTTTTATTATATGGGCTTATACAATTGATTCAATCAACCTTTGTAGACATCAACAACTAATAAATAGCAAAACTGGGATTCAAACCCAGGTTTCTGGTTTGAAATCTCATCTCCTTTCCAATAACCTTAGCATCAAGTAAGCAGTTGTCAGCGCCCACTCCCAGGCACCCTGTCACCCAGTTAGGAAGCACCTCACTCACTCTATATTGCCTTTATATCTCTTGCTCACTCACCACCTCCCCAACACTCCTTAGGACTCTCTCTTTAGAGGTGTGGAGCTCTGGCCCTGATAACAGGATTGGCTGTCCTTTGATCTACTCTCTGCATATCCAACAACTTCTTACACCCAACAAGACTTCCCAGGAGTCCTGCCAGTCAAGACATAGTTAGGGAAGGGAAATACCACAGATTAGAAAGCCTTCAAAAGAATGGAAGTGAAATGTGGTATAAGATAAAGAGTCTCATGTTTAAAGTGTCAAATTTGCTCTCTCACTATAAGCTAGAGGTTACTGGGAGTCCAGTATTGCTTCCATGTTAAATGTGATGTTTAAGTCACCTGCTCCATCCACTGGCAGAAACCATCAGGCTACCATCAAACAGAGTTTCACTCATCAGGGAAAAATGGGCAAAAGATGGTTGACTTTCCACATGTACAAAAGCAAACCCTAACCAAAAAATAAATGATTTATAGTTAAAGTTGCTGACAGCGTTTGTCTAAAGGCTAGCTGTTGATTCACACCTGTCAAGCCATCCTGAAATTATTCAAGAGTCCATAATAATTTAATATAATAATCATACTTGTACTCAAAATTTTCTCTTAATCCCATTGCTTTTCACTCAGTCTGATTTAAGAAAACTTTTAACTAACTTAATAATTAGCTTAATAACCAACAATGCTATACCTTTTAAGTGGTTCTTATATTAGGTCATTTTTAGTCATTCAGAATGTCTGAATGGCCTTTAGGTACTTTTATAGTGGGGTTGGAGCATTTGCTGGGGGTTAGATTCATATTTGGGTTATATTTTCTCAACAATTAGAAGACTTTCATTTTATTATCTCAGTCTTATATATTTATAAATTCTAAACTGATGTGTTTAGATAGGAAATACTTCTGGAGAAATCTTTAATCCATTTTAATAGAAAGTTAGCCAAACTTTTCTGTGCCCATTGAAGTTTTTTTTTAAACTGTTCTACTAGTTAAATCTATACAAAGCTTTTTAAAATTTTGTTTCAAAATGACAGTGTCTGTGATTAAACTCTTCTGGGATTATTTAATGTTTTGACAACCCTAAATCTGTTATAAACCACCTAATAGGAAGCTGTTTATTCCATAAAATAACTCAAAAAATGTATCACTAATTCAGCGTTTCAAATAGTGCTATTAAGGTCAATTCAAACTATATTTGTACATTAGCAAATCCAATTATTATGACAAAATGGGCTATGGGATATATGGTTGTTATTTGCATTTTCAATACTCATCATATTATACCGGCATCCCCATTTAAACATGTTGTTTTTTTCATTTGCATAATTAGATTCCAAATTATTAGGCGTTTTGATTTGCATGCAACTGTTTGAAACATTCTGTTGTGTTTAGTATGTGACAAATGTATTTATTGCATGATCATAGTTTTCCATTGTAAACCTAATATGAACACTTTCTTTTCTCATTTGTCGTGTGCTGTGGAATTTGATTTCTTTACTTTTTTGGCATTCATTTCCTCATTAGACACTGAAAGAGTTTTACCAGGTAAGGCATTATTTCACTGCATTTTCTTTTAGCCAAGAAGTAGTTGTAACATATAAATATGTACATGTATATGTGTATATGTATACATTTTTTTGCTAGACTATTTTATTTGTTTTGTCTCCCATATATTTAAAGGCACTTGTTTTGAAAGAATTCATGTTAAAATGTTTTGCATGCCACTTTTTTTCCAGGAAGTACAGAGCTGTACTGTTGACTTAGGTATTACAGCAGACAGCTCCAATCATCCAGACAACAAGCACAAGAACAGATACGTCAATATTGTAGCTTGTAAGTACGTTCTTTACTCAGCTGACTGCAACATCATCAGTGCTGTCCTGTTTTGACTGATGTCCTCACATCATTTGCCGATGGACCTCAGTGGGGGTGTTACAAGGCCTATGTGATCAGGGAGAGAATTTTCTGCCTGCTAATACTAGCATTACACTAAGGTCACATCAGCACATGCTGCCATCCATGGCATGGGTTTCCTTCATACACAAGGAGCTCCAAATTTAATCCAGTCCTTTCCTCAAGCCCCATAGACTGTATTTCTCTAACTGAGGTTTCAGCCATTGTTTGTAGACTACAGTCTGACTTCTTAGGATCCACTTGCTCTTAATGAAGTTACGAACCTGCTGAGCTTCTCTTGACCTCCTCTTTCTGCTCCTACCTGCACTTGCTTTCACCCTTTCTTGGAATTCTTCCTGGGCTTGGCAAGGGATCTGCTAAAGATTCTTTTCATTCCTCCCTCTGATGTTTTCTTAGCTGCATTTTCCCTCATCCTTGAGCAGCATTGGCTCTTCCACCCTTAACTCGGTTTTATTTCTTTTTTTTTTTTTCTTGTTTTGGTGCGGGGGAGGAAAAAAAGTTTTATTTCTGAATTTCATGCTTCAAAATCAGATCATAATTTTATGAACTTGTCCCTTAGGATACTCAGTATTTGGTTTGGGCGGTATCTGGTCTGAACTTAATTGAGGAAATACAAATTGGCTACTTTGCTTATAAGCACTGAAAAGTAACTTGCTCTTGGGGTTAAACGTGCTAAAGATTACTTTGCATAAATAATCCTGGGTCACACTTAATCATCAGCTACTTGCAGGATTTGATAAAGCCAAAATGAGTCTTTGGGTTTAAAAAGGTCAGGGAGAGAATCTTATGCTGCATCTTACATCTCTTTTTAAAAACAGGAAAAGCTTATGGCCTTTCATTATTAAAACTCAATACAATAAATTGACTTTGTATGGGCCACAATAACATCAGTTACATCGATGCACTGGCACTTAAGCACAAGGGCAATCTTTAAAAACTGGAGACCTTTAAAATAAGGCCATAGTATAAAAAACAGTTCATGGTGTTATATTCAGCAAATTCACACTAAAAATAGTCTCTTTTTGTAGAATAAAGGCCAGGAAAGCTTTACATATGCTACAAGCTCATTACATGTATTTACATGGCTCTTTTCTTCCCTATGTATTTAATTTTCACACACACAGCTGACTCCCTGCTTCAAGCAAGCTTTGTAGGCGTGAGGCCAGGTCACCTCAGTAGCTATGGAAGATGCTAGCGAAGAAAAACGTCATTGGAAAGCTATTCAGAATTTGTTTTTGGAAAAGGTTTAGTGTATAAATGCCTATCCACTGCATTTAAGAAATTTTGGGCTATCTACTTGGCCTCATTCTAATAAGCTCCAATTGCTCTTTATACATTTACCACTGTACAACTTAAGATGCAGCTATTTTATAAGATGCCCATGATATTATGGTTTGGGTGTCCCTAGAACATTCAACTGAACTGTGCACCTGGTTTGGAGTCTTTGTATATCTTAGCTAAATGCTTATTATCTGATTCCCCCTCCCCCTCCCCTGTTTTCCTGCTAGACAACAAAGTTGATTACTGTTCCCAAAATCTAAGCTTGAATTTAGTTAGCAAAACTATGAAGCAGAATTAGTTAAATTATCCCTACACTATTATAATATAGTGCACACAGGACATAAATCAAATGTCTGCTTATACTTGTAAACTAGCACTTCTATAAAAATTCCCTAAAGTCAAATCAACTGATGGCTATATATGAACATCACAGAATTTAAAATTAGTACTTAGGATTTTAAACCTATACTTTAAGTGGGGTTTTAAGTTGAAATGTCATTATTTCCTTATCTGAAGGGTTCAATGAACCAGGAACCCAGTGGCTTGGTGGCTTGGGGAGAACACCTTGATGATGGTGGTTCACTAAATTTGTCTCCGGCATAGTTCTGGTTAACCTGAGACTTAAAAAGCAAGCTCGGTCTTGATAAGCTAGCATTCCAGTTTGGGTTGTTAGAAAGGCTCTTGTTGTTTCCCCCATTCTGCATGGCCTGCCACGCAGCTGCCAATGGAGCGTACCCATGTCCTCTTCCTTTTTTCTTATGAACGATCTTCATCTGGGAATTCCGATCCTTGGTCTTCTGTCTGTTGTGCTGTTGTTGGTTCTTACTAACATTTCTAGATTGAGGGGCTGGAATGTTATCCCTCTCTCCACCTCTCATCTTCAGCTTCTCTGTCACCTTTCAGTCTGCTTTTCAGATTGCAGGATCTCCACTCCTCGTCCTCTTTCTTGCTGCCAAGCCCAGGATAAGAGATGTTGCTTCCTGCTAGACCCTTTCGTTTGTCTCAGTACATAAGTTTTCATGAGCCAATCTGCTGATTTCAGCCTAGGCGCTGAGGCCAACATCCAGTCTCCTCAGCACACAAGTTTGAGAGAAGTCCTAGGGACGTAGAGTTGGCAGCTGCAGGGGATGACTCCCTCTCGGTCCCCAAACCTCTCTCCCTTCCCAGGGAGAAACGATGCACGGATCAAACACTGCCCACGAGCGAGTCACACACCACAGTTCCATCTTCCACCAACCTTCTCCTGCCTTTACTGACAAAATGCGCAGTTTTGTTTCTATCTTCCTTCTGTCTCCATCTTTCTTCACTCTTGTTATAGCACTTGTTCCTCCCATCTTCACTCCCATCTGTCTCTCATTAGAAAATAACAGGCTGGGCTACAGCGATGGCTCAGAGGATAAGAGCACTGGCTGCTCTTCCAGAGGTCCTGAGTTCAATTCCCAGCAACCAAATGGTGGCCCACCACCATCTGTGATGAGATCTGGTGCCCTCTTCTGGCCTGCAGTCATACATGCTGTATACATAATAAATAAATAAATCTTTAAAGGAAAAAAAAAAAACAGGTTTCTAAGAGGTAAGAACAAAACATAACAAAATAAAACAGAATAAAATAAAGCAAAAACCATGACATTGAGTTTGCACAGGGCCTAATCCAGTCCCATGGGGCTCGGGATGGGTCCCTGGTGCATGAGCCGGCTTTTTGGAGCCCAGTGCCTAAGGTGTGACACCTTGCCACAGCCTTGGTGCAGGGGGAGGGACTTGGATCTGCTTCAGCTGAATGTACCAGGTCCTGCTAACTCCCCCTGGGATACCTTGACTTGGAGGAGGTGGGAATAGGGGGTGGGTTGTGGGAGAAGGCTGAGAGGCAGAAAGAGGGAGGAGGGGGATCTGTGGTTGATGTAAAATGAATAGAAAATTTCTTAATAATGAAAACAATAGAAAAAAAAGAAAAATCACACAAGGCAAACCAATAGAAGGAAAAGAGACCAAGAGAAGGCACAAGAGTCAGAAACCCACTCGTTCATACTCAGGAGTCCCATAAAAACACTAAACTGAAAGCCATAATATGTGCTCAGAGACCTGATGCAAATCTGTGAAAGCCCTGTGCTTGCCAATTCAGTCCCTGTGAGTTCATAGGAGCTTTACTTGGCTGATTCAGAGGGACGTGCTCCCCTGGTGTCCTCCATCCCCTCTGGCTCTTATGCTCTTTCTGCCTCTTCTTCCATGGGATTCCTTGAGCACTAAAGGGGAGGATTTGGTGGAGATGTCCCGTTTTGAGCTGGATGTTCTCTTCTCTTGTGTCTGTGATGTCTGGCCCTGTGGGGGGTGGGTCTCTGTATTTGCCCCCATCTGCTGCAGGAGGAAGTTTCTTTCATGACGACTGAATAGGGCACTGATCTGTGAATATAGTAGAATACCACTCGGAGTCATTTTATCACTAATTCTTTTTTTTCTTTAAAGACCAGTATTATTTGATTTTACTATTGGTCTCTGGGCTATCTAGTCTCTGATTTTTAATCATCTAAGCAGTGTCTGGTATGGGTGCCATCTCATGGAGTGGGCGTTAGGTCAATTCAGACATTGATTGGTTGCTCCCACAAGCTTTGTGCCACCATTGCCATAGCGTATTTTGAAAGGCAGGGCAGCATTGTAGATGGAAGGTTTTATGACTGGGTTGGTGTATGTTTCTCTTTTGGTAGCCTGCAAAGTATCCTCTCCATATCTTGAAATCTGGCTTCATGTTCCTTCCTCCCTCTAAGGGGGAAAAAATGTAAAAACTTCTGGCCTTTCTCCTGTGAGGGTTAGATGGCTTCCTAAGTACATGCATCCTAATCACAAGGTCCCTTACATTCTGGTTCGAGTCTAGCCTACAGGTCTGCATATCCCTCCCTTTAATTATCATGTTCTCTTCGGTAGTTGGCATAGATGTTGTCTCCCTTTCTAAGGGACTCATGCAAGTATTTGCTTTTTAGCAGAGGATTCTACTACAGATTTGTTTCTTCCCCTGAGACAGTTATCCTGGTTACATTAGGAAGGAACAGAGATTGACATTTGTTGAGCACCTGCTATTTCCTTAGCATTGTAAACAGTACTATTTCCTCCCCCACACACTAAACAACATTGTAAACAGTACTATTTCC